TCCCTCATAATGCCCCATCTTCCTCTTCTTACCACTCCTCCTCCACAGATCTGTTTACATCTCCCAGTCATTCTAGACCAAGAGGGAAATTCTGTGTAAGAATTACTTTCAAGTGCCCATCTTTCCTTCATTTGTGCTTATATCTAAAAGCCTTTGACATCTTCTGTATCCCAGCTGACTTATGGTTCTTTAAACTTTGCATCCCCCTTAGCAAGGAAACTCTTAATTCAACTTTGGAAGGTTACAGGTTAAAACATTTTTTACTTTGGTCTCCTAAACATACCTTTTCCTGCTGCCATTTCTGGTGGCTCTAAGGTGCAGCATCTCCCAGCTCCCTGACATCTATAGGCCACACTAGTCCCTGCGTGCTCATTTCTCCTGGTTGAAAGAGGAGATAAAAGGATAATGAGGACCAACCCCCGCCCCCCACCCAATTAACTGACACTTGCTGCCTCCTGGCCACGATGTTGGTGTCATGTTTCTAGAAGCCCCTGGCTCTGCCTCTCCCAGTCCTCTCTGTGTGTACCAGCCTGATAATGGTCCTCTCACCACAAATTAACCGGGGTTTCACCAACAAAGCCCGGCCACTCAGCCCTCCACCACACCACTGTGCTCTCACAACTGCACTAGCCATCCTGCCTTGCAGATCAAATTGAGACTAGAGCAGAGACAGCAAAAGCAGAGACGCAGAGCTTGGCATGGGGTGGGGGTGTAGGCAATGGCAGCTGGAACTTGCCCTTCAGGTGGATGGAGTGGAATTTCTATCACAGCCACTCCCTAAGTTTTAGACAAAAAAAATGTTAAAAAAAGAAAAGCAAGGTTCCTCAGCAGGGTGCCCAGTAAAAGACTCACATACCCCATGGCATTGCCCTCACCTCCTATTCAGAGGAATGAGGAACCTCAGTGGCCATGAGGTTATAGCCATCGCCCCAACAGCAGCCATCGGAACTGGCAGCCCATCTGTGGGCCCTGCTCCTGACTCAGCGGGGAGCCAGCCTCCCCTAGAGGGAGCCTGAGGGAGTCAGTGCCTTTCAAGGTCAACATGGCCAGGAGGGGGCAGCGGAGGCTTCTGAGCTCTTTAAAATTCTCTTTAACCAACTGATCTCAAGAGAATTCTGGAAAACAACTTTGTTGGGTATTCCAGCATAGATATCTACACCTAGCCCCTAAATCCCCAGTAATCTTCCCCCTCCTGGCTGTGCAAGAAGGAGGAGGGGCAAGGGGAGGGAGAACGTCCCTTTTTATATGGTTAGGAGCTATTTTCAACAACTTTTAGTTCTCCAGAGAGACAAAGTAGTGTTAACAACTGGGAAACACACGCCACTGATGTCATATTCCTGGGAAATCCCTCCACGAGGACAATCTCTCTGCCTCTCCTGTGTTCCCGGGGTTTCCCTAAGCAGCCTCTGTGTGGTCTGGAGATAGTACCGCAGTGAGCAGGAGCAGTGAGTATATTCCAGAAACTGACTCACCCACTAAGGCAACACTTCTGATTTGATCCTAAACTTCACTCAGAGACTCTCTCTTACTAGCTGCCCCATGTCACCCCTATCATCTCAGCCAGTTGTACCAAACCAAGTAATCTGCATATGTAAATTGCAGTATGTTAACTGGCTTTTCCTCTCTATTTGCCCTTAACCCAGCGTTCTCAACCTGTGGGTCGCGACCCCTTTGGCAGTTGAACGACCCTTTCACAGGGGTCGCCTAAGACCATCCTGCATATCAGATATTTACATTATGATTCATAACAATAGCAACCTTACAGCTCTGAAGTAGCAACGAAAATAATTTTATGGTTGGGTCACAACATGAGGAACTGTATTTAAAGGGCCAGAAGGTTGAGAACCACTGCTAACCTGTTAGCTGGAACCACTAGCCAGAACTCTTTCTGAAAATGTCCCACCTCTGCCTCACGATAGCATAATCACCTGAGTTCATGTATACAAATTGCATGAACAAGTTTAGTTAATTGACCCAATATCTTTAATGTCTTGAAAGTTACCAGATCATTAGAAAACAAAGATGAAATAATTGGTTGCTCAGACATTCACTCTACACCTACCATTAGTGGATACAGCGCAGAATTCATGCTCAGCCAGAATGCTCAAGGCTGATGTGCAGCTCCGTTGGCTCTTGGGGAACGGGAGGCAGTAGGGTCTCCAGGCTCCCGGGGCATACGTCTGCAGGGAGTCCTACCCCTCTTCCCCAGGAGCCCGTGGATGGAGAAACTGTCATCTAATTCAAGAAACTGGGAGCAACTCTGGAAAAGGGTCAGAGATGGATGGCACAAGTACCAACTAATTCTAAGTTTAGCTCAAAAAGTAGAACTGTTGCCAGGTAGTTTTTTTAAGAGAACCAGGGACTCAGAGAGAGTAGCCAACAAACAGTTGGCTGAAAGTGCAGGTGCCCAGGTCCAACTGGCCCAGTCTTCCCTTCCAGCTCACTGGGGTTCCATTTGCAGCTGGGCAAGGGGACCAAAGACAGGACCGACTATACCAGGTCATCTAGGAATGTCCTTCGGGGGCTAGCGGTATGTCCGTGAACTGTGGGTTCCCAAGAGCAAGGGCTGTGTGTTAGGCTTCTTCCTGTTGGTTCCACTGAGAGTCATTCTGTGATTGCTTTGAGAGTTTATTATGAGTGGTTAGTTTCTTTTGTGTGTGTGTTTTTTTGAGACTGCACTTTGTAAGCATAGCCCCTCACATAGAACAGGCTGTGTGAGAGGCTCACAGGCAACACTGCCCTAGCAAGTCGAAAGGGCCCTCTGACCCTAGTGCCCACCAGTAGATGAGAGGGTAAAAAGGCCGTGGTACATTTACACTATGGAATACTAGGCAGTAATAAAAAAGAAGGATCTGAGACAGCATGGAGGGACCTGGAGAGCATTATGCTAAGTGAAATAAGCCAGTCAGAGAAAGACAAGTACTCTATGATTTCACTTATATGTGGACTCTAATGAACTAACAAGCAAAGTAGAGACAGACACATAGAGAGCAGGCTGACAGCTGTCAGGGTGGGAGGGGCTTGGAGGGCTAGGTTGGGGGGCATGATGGAGGGACTGATCAAAAAGAGACATACGTGCCCTTTGAAAAGCATGGTCTAAAGCCAGAGAAAATGATTAATCTGTGAGTCTCCTGATTCTCCCACAGTGCCAGTCTCATTAACCGGGCGGGGGCCCCCAGGCCCCTGTCCTCCCACTCACTGCTGCCCTCACAGCTCCCCTGACCACTCCTTGTCTCCCATTGCAGAGACGTATCATGAGGATCCTTAAATCAATACATTATTAAAATAACAAGACAGGATCAAGGTGATTAGAAAAGACCTAAAACTACATTTTGAAATAAAATATGACTTAAATAGAATAGATCTTAAATAGGAGCTATAAAAAGCTAAAAATCAACCAAAAAAAAAGACAGTTAAGACCTTTAAATACCCCAAATGAAGCATTCTGCATGTGTAAAAAGTAAAATATAATAAAACAAGTAGTTTAACCAGGTGACTCAGGTGAGTTCTCTAAGTTGTTTTCATTCTGGTCCTATTTGGGATGGGATTGACCCAGAGGACCTTCAAGTTTTGCCCAGGGTTCTTAGCAGTAATGGGGTGGGGAGGAGTTTTCAGGGTGGACCCAAGCCTGCTGGGAACTCTGTCTAATGCCTGGGCATAGTGTGTAGAATAGATTGACCTCTGTATGACCCTCTCACTCCCTCACTGAAGCCTCAGAAATACAGAATCACTCACACAGGTGCACAAACACTTGACCATCCTTAATTCCCTCCGTGTGTGTGTGTGTGTGTGTGTGTGTGTGTGTGTGTCCATGTTCTATTGCAGCCTGCTAGTCAAATTCTAGTGAGCCCAGCTTCCAGGTCTGTGGACTGACCGGCAGCTCGTGCTCCTCCAGAAGCAGAATGGAGATGGGACTGTGTTCTGCAGAAGGCTGGAGAGCATCCCTGCCCTATTCTTCCCTGGCCTCCCCCTGCATCTCCATCCTTCCCCAAAAAACATCCCACCAATTTGCTATGGGAAAAAGGAACTTGCCGACAAATTTGTTGCCAAAGGAGTGTTTTAAGTCTGCAAGCAAATGTCTGGTTGTGCACATTTTCATCCTTCAAAAATCCATTAAAACATTTGTTTGTATGTATCTTAAAAACAGAAACACAAGAGCATCCATCTGAAAGTGGAGGGTAAAAGCAAAGTCGTGACCTTCTAGAAAGAGTTAACAGCTCAGAAGGTCAGATCAGTCAGGCACTCGGCTCTACCTGCTGAGAGTGGGGGCGTCTTCGGGATCCAGGCTCCAGAACTGGGCAGAGAGCTGCGCGGCACTCAACATGCCGCTTTCCCCAGCACCTGCCCCAAACTGAGCTCAGCAGTCAGACCCGTGAGAGCAGCTTCGTGGGTGTTAGTAACCACATCTTAAATTGTGCACAGAGCTTCCCAAATTCAGAAACAGCTCCCCACACTGGTCATGCCAGGCCAACGCTCTCACACCTGAAGACTAGGAGCTAAGCAGGACCGTCTCCCACCTGAGCCTCAGCCTGAGGACTAGCCCCTGCTATGGAGGGAGGTGAGGGCCACCTCTTTAGACCCTCCACAGTGAGAATTAAAACCCAAGCTCCTGCTAAACCTGAGGGGCCACTGATGGCCAGCTCCCTCAGCGGCAATGCTGGGGTAGAGCTAGAGTGAGTGAAGCTCTTAGAACACGTGGTGGGCTTTGCTAAGTGAAATAAGCCAGTCAGAGAAAGACCTCCATCCACAGAGTCCACATCTCATTTGCACTGGTTGTGAGCTATTTAATACATGACGGAGACGGTAGACGTGAGGCCCAGCTAATGCAGAGCCCACACTCACGGTGCAGAACCCACCAGGCCTGTGGTTGGTATTTCTGTCACTTGTTTCCTTTTGCCCTCTCCTGCCACTGAGTTGCTCCTGTGTTAGCCAAGACCTAGAATCCCGATCTCTTCGTTGGAGACTCATTACAGCTTATCTCTATCTGCCTTTCTTTAAAGCCAACTGAACAAACCCAATGCTCTCCCTCTCTGGTAAGACCAACCCTCCAGACCACGCTCTGAGCTTCTGTGACCTCCTCTAACACCCCCCACTCTTACCACTGGACCCCGAGTCTCCCAGAGCCCGGCCTGGCTCCTGCTGCATGTGGCCACCGTGTCCGTCTGCACCTTGCCTGCCTGGTCTCGTGGAACTGTGACGTGCTGTCTGTGTAATGGTGTCTTCCCCTCGCCCTGAACTCCCCTTTGGGTGATAATTCACTGTGATCTTGACTGTCTAACGAGCCACTGGGAGAGAACTGGACCCGAGGGCAATTTCCTGTTAAACACCCTGAGACCACTAGCTAAGCCTCTAGCCCGAGCCTGACGTGGGAACTGTGCACAGGGCGCCTTCGAGCGTTTGCCCAGGCTTCTCAGCAGTAATGGGTGGGCAGACGCCTGAAAGTCTCCATGGTAAGGCCTCCTGGGAAAGAGGGAAGAGGAGATGATCCAGCAGGAAGCGGGAGGGCAGGCGGTTACCTTCCTTTAATGGAGTTTCTGTAAGGACTGGGCTCCTTTGTGCTGAGTTTAAGGCCACAGCAGAAGGTGTGAGCTGGGATTTGTTTCTGAGAGTGCGGCTGAATTTCCAGTGTCTTCATACCTGTGGAATTTTCTAAATTCCTGAGCTCATTAAAATTGGGCTGTCCCCACCCACTTTTCCGCAGCACACAGCAAGCGGAGAAGCTCAGCTCTTCGATTGGACCACTCCAATTCACTTCGGCTCAAGTGATAGAGATGCCATTTGGTGTGACTTTGAGGTCTCCTTCGAACAGCCTTCTCAGAAAAGCTATCGTCAGACATTTAGTGGTGGGGTGATTCCCTGAACCCGAGTCAGCAGACAAGACAAGGCCGGGTGGGCTGGTGGTGTTTCCTGACACACCGCCCCAGGCCGGGTGGAGGCGGCCGAGGCAGGGCTGCTCCTGGGCTTGCTCCCCACTTCGCAGGGACGGCCACTGGCTCTGCTTCTTCACTGCAGTGTCGTTTGGTTTTATTAGAAGAAGTGGCCGTGTCCACGCGGAGTGTGTATCCCCCTCTAGAGCATCAGGAAACTGCAGCAGCCGGGGGCTCCTGGTCCCAGGCTGGAAGCCACACTGCAGGCTTGGGTTTCGTTTCCTCACCCGTCAGATGCGGACGCCCCTGTGGCACAACTTCCCAGACTCTTGACACTCACAACTGAGGTTCTCACTTCAGTTTGTTCTTTCTTCTGTCCGCCTCTCCCGACATGGGGAACTGACAGCTGTTGTAAACCCGGAGCCTCTGCTGCATACTCCTCGTTTCAGGAAAGAAAATAGAATCTCAAATAGATACACAGGTGTTAGAAATGCAGAGATTAAGGGCATCAAAGACTTCAGAATCCACCCAGGGCAGAGGGTGGGGCAAGTTAAGGACACTGCCTGCCCCTCCTCCCTGGCTCCCCCCACAGCCTGCCCTGCCTGAGGGGACTGGGGAGGGCTCTGACTTAGATGTAGGAGAAATACTGTGACTCTTCCCCTGCATGGAGAGTCCAAAACCCAGAGGGACTTCCTGCTGGTTTCTGAGTATCCCTCCAGGAGGGGTAAAGGCTGTCTCTGGATTACTCTGGCCTCTGGAGCCAGCAGCCACGTCAGTGACAGTCAGCGGGACAGGTCGCAGGGCCTGGGGGAGCAGGGCGACCATGCTGGTGGGATGTGGGGATGGAGAGGCTCCCACCTGAAAATGACTAAGCACCAAGCTGGAAATGTGGGTGGAGAAGCCGGGAGGCAACACAGAGTCCCAGGGATGACCCAGAGGGAGGCAGCAATGGGAACAGTAACAGGAAGCCCCAGGGTCCATTCTCTCCTGGTGCTGACAGGGCTGGGTGAGCTGCACTAGCTCTGGGAGCAGGCAAGTGGCTGCCTGGTCACCACCACAGCTCTTGGGCCTGCATGGCAGGAGGAGGGGCCAGTGGGTCAGTCCATGTTTGCCTTGGGTCTGGAGGCAGACAGTGGCAAGGAAATCTTTCCTGCCCCCCGAGCCTGCCCGACCTGTGCCCAAGCCCTGGGACCCTCCAGCTCCAAGATGCCCAGTGATCCCTCGGCCAGCAGCCCCAGCAGCGCAGCGCCATATTCCCACCTCAGCGCTGCACCTGCTCCATTCTTCTTCCCCTTGCCCTTGCCCTCACCCTCCAGGACTCCCGAGGAGATGATCTACCCTGAGCAGGACCCCCTTCCCCACCTCTCCTGGAGAGGGGGTGCCTCCTAGAGGCCCAGGGCAGAGAGGAGGAGATGTGGTGGGGGGGGGCAGATTTAGAGCCCCAGAAAAGGCAAGGGTTGTAAAGCAGACACTCGCCCAGCACTAAGTAACACCACAGCCATGTGGGACGGGGGCTGTGAGCAGTGGGAGTTGACACACAGAAGTGCTGGAGTCCTGAGGAGCCCGAGAGCCAGCTCTTGCAGTGGGGAGCCCACTGCCTGCCCACCACCTGCCCACCGGCCCCAGTGCAGTTGTCTCCCTGCTGGGAGGGGCCCACACCCACCGGCCACCTTGCAAACCCAGCCCCTCAGGATGCAGGACCCTCGGCCACGCCAGGCGGGAGGGAGGCCGCTGCTTTCTCAGCACGTGGCCGAGGCCGGGCACCCTCAGAGGCTGGCTCCCCGCCTCGATTACAGGGCCTATGGAAGTTCCTCAGGGATGCTCCTGTTGCCCCACCCAGGGACTCAGGAAGAAATTGAAGCCGGAGAATAGGAAAAAGGACATGGGCTCAGGGCCTGGGCACAGCTTGGCTCTGCAGAGACCTCAGGGTTGGGTTGTCCACCTGGAAAAGGTGGGCGCTGCCTTCCCTCAGTGGCCAGGGAGAGAACTAGTGCAGCCAACCCCGCCCTGAGCTGGTCTGTCCCAGCCAAGGGCTGTGTTGCTGGAGCAGGGCCCACCCCGCTCTCGCCCACCCCTCCGTGTTGCTGTGTTAACTACCACCTCCTGTTGCCAATGGATTCCAGAATGCAGAGGAGAACTCCCGCATCTCCATCACCTTCTTCCGCCTCTTCCGGGTCATGCGCCTGGTCAAGCTGCTGAGCCGTGGGGAGGGCATCCGGACGCTGCTGTGGACCTTCATCAAGTCCTTCCAGGTAACCATCTCTGCCCTGAGCACTGGTGCCCTGAGCGCTTCTCCTGGGCTGCAGGGCTGCACGGGACTCCCCCAACCCCAGCTCCCACAGGCTCCCCGAGCGGGAGGAGAGAGTCAAGGAACGAGTAGCATCCAGGAGTCAAGATGGGGCTCGCTCTGCTGCTCACTGCTGCTCATGTCTGACATGAGTCGCTTGGACTCAGTTTGTGGTCCTCAAAAGCATGTCTGGGTCCCTGGGTTTCCCTGAGGTCGGGTGGGGAAGGCTGAAAGCCGAGGGGCGCTGAATGGCTCTGCTTTCTTCTCTCCCTTAGGTATTTTTCTGCAAGAATTGATTAGACAGAGGGACTTTGTGGTGGAACAAATTTGAAAACCATGGCACCCAAGACCCTCCCAATTCTGTCATTGCAGCAGTGACTGCTGTTCCTACTTAGGGACTTGGCTAAACTCTCCAGGACCTGGCATCACTGCTCTCGAGGAGAGATGGAACCTCAAATGAGCACAGGGTTGCCCAACATAGAATCAATTCTCTGGGCTCAGCCATCATTTTCCATCTGTAAAAGCAGAATAACATGGCCATCTCTGCGAGGCTTATATTAGCTTAAGCAAAGCCCTGCCGGGTCACTGAATCCCTGACAGGTGTGGCGCTGCCATCAGGCACCTGCTTGCTTTGGAACCCCACCCCAAAGGCATGCTCACCTCCACAGAGAGCCTCCAGCCCTGGGTCAGCATCCCCGCCCAAGACGGGCCACAGGGAGGGCTCCAGCCTGGCTGCACTCCTAGCCGGCCCAGGCTGACTGCCCACCTCAGGAGGAGCAGGGCCCTCCCTGCCACCCCACCCACCCTGAGCCACTCTTAGTCCCTGGGAAGCTGAGGATTCTTCGGAAAACAGACTGGGCTGACCCTGTCCAACGGGCACCTTTGGAGACCCACAGCTGTGGGTGACCATATAGGCCTCCCGTGTTTCCTGGGCTGGGAAGAGGCACTGGGCTTGTGAAGAGTGAGGCCGGACTGTGGAGCTGGAGCTCTGATGACCCTTAGCGTCCACATGGTCTCGCAGTGCCATCTAGTGGTGTGTGGGCACCTGGCCGGGCATTTCCCCAGGGGCCTCCCCAGAAGTGGCAGGGGCTCTGGAAAATTCCGTTGTCTGCGCATCTGGGCAGATAATACCTTGAGTGAATAAAATGTGTGGAACCCAAGTGCAAGGCAATGCACGGAACATTTTGTAAGCCTTAAATCGTTTAAACTCTACAAAAGCCCCGCAAAGTCATCGTTGCTCTTCTCATTTTTCAGATGAAGAAAATGAGGCTCAGCGAGGTTTATATGTCCAAGTTCTCACAGCTAGAGAGTGGCAGAAATAGGATTTGAGCCCATCATACTTATTTTAGTTAAGTTCCCCTTAGTAAATGTTTTTATTACCACTAGTGGAACAACATACAGTCACACAAAGAAAGGGAGGGAGCTGCCTCCACCTGCGCCTCCCGGGAAGCCTTGGTGTGTGTCCTCCGAGCCCTTCTCCTTGCTAAACAAAGATACATGTCTCCTCAGAGGACATTTGGCTCACTTGTCATTGTTTTTACTAAGTAATATCACACTATTTTCTTTACTCTGGAACTTGCTTTTCTTAAGACTACACTGCTTTTCGGGTGATTTAAACTAAGTAAATTGAAGGGTCAGTGCCATCACTCAGGCCTCCTCCCAGGTGCCCAGAACCATGGAGCTCCTGGAAATGCCCCCCAAGCCAGGCATCTGCTGGTGGCAGGTGCCGTGCCCTGGGAAGGGGTCCAGCCAGCCCGCCGTCTTCACCGCCTTACAAAGTCTTTTGCTTCCTCCAGGCCCTGCCCTACGTGGCCCTTCTAATCGTGATGCTGTTCTTCATCTATGCTGTGATCGGGATGCAGGTAGGAGCTCCCTGGTGCTCAGTTCCTCTGTTCCCTGCTTTCCCAGCCCCACACTCCCTGCCGCCCTCTGCCTTCTCACCTCACCCCTGCTCCTGACTACCCTGCTCCCTCCTCTTTCACCTTCTGAGGCCCAAATGTCACCGGAATTGGAACTTCCCCCCAAATTGTATCCTATAGGTGGCAGGGTGAACGGCCAAGAGTGGAATACATAGTTCAGAGAGTTTCTCTCCCCATTTTCCCAGGCCTGGGTTCTGCTCTCAGAAAAACGCTTCCAAATTATGCAGTGGGCTCAAGAGATATGGGCCCTTCTAGGAATCCGCAGGAAGGGTGTGTCAGACAGCTTCCCTCCCTTTGTCCAGGTCTGATGGGCCTGAGAACTATCCCCAATCAGTGTCGCTCAGGAGAGAGGGAGGGAGAGAGGCAGGCTCTCCCCATCAAACACACAGCAGTTTCCAGGCCTCCCACCCGTGCCACTGCACTTTCTCCTGCCCCAAGCCCCGAGTTCTCCAGCCACGCCTCGGGGTTCCAGAAGAACACCCAGCCCACACTGCACCCTGGCCAGGAGCTTTTCCTCAGCAGCTCCTTGAGCACGATTCTCCTGCTTGTTTTTGCAGAAAGACCCTAAGGTTCATAGGCCAAAATCTTTGAGATGAAAAGAGCTACCTTGCCATTGACCAAGGGTGGCAGTTTCTAAGATAAGCATCACTTTAAAAGCTCGGGGGATGGGGTGAGGAGGCCTCTGATTGCAAGGATGCATTAAATTTGTCGAAGCCCCAGATTGCTTATTCCATATCATCCCAGAGTCCAAGAACGAAATTTGGAAGTGTGCTTGGGCATATGGAGCTGAAATGGCAAAGGCATCAATAAGTTCTGGTGATCTAATGGTGATGATAGTTAATAATAATACAGTATTGTAGCCTTGACATTGCTGACAGACCGTAAGCGTTCTTACACCAAAAAACTGTTAACTGTGTGAGATGAGGCATGCTAATTGTCTTGATATTGGTAATGATCCTATAGTGTGTGTGTACATCAAATCATCACCACATTGTACACTTTAAATATATACAATTATATTTGTTAGTTATTCCTTAATAAAGTTTTTAAGAGAAAATATTCTTAAGAATGTGCAGTTCCCTCCCCCCTGAAAACCAGTGAGCCTGTTCTCAGCCTCAGTGCCCACTGGGCCACCGGGCCTCTCCTGAGGGCCCATGGGCTCTTCTTACCTGTACAGGTCAGGGATTGACACAGGGAAGCAGGTGCCTGCCCCTTGAGGCCCAGCCAGGTTGCATGAGGGGGCTCTGCTCAGTTTATAGGCCAGCCTGTCCCAGGGTCAGCTCTGACCCTGAGGAGACCTTTGAGTGATGGGTGGGAACTAGGGTGCTCCTGGTCCATGCTTCACCGAATCCCTTTCCTCTCCCCTGTTAGGTGTTTGGGAAAATTGCCTTGAATGACACGACAGAGATCAACCGGAACAACAACTTTCAGACCTTCCCCCAAGCTGTGCTGCTCCTCTTCAGGTGGGTCTCTGAGGACCGTGCACACAGAAACAGCAGCGTGATGCCGCCCTAGAGTCTGGATGTAGAATGAGAGGGGACTCTCTCCAGGAGAGTGGCAGGGGTGAACTGATGCTGGGTCTCACTCCAGGGACTGGGAAGCAGTCGTTTCATTGTTATTTACAACCTCCCATCTGGCACCCCATGGACATGGCACAGCTGCTGGTAACCATCTGAAAACAGTAGGGGATCAAAAGTCAAATACTGAAAGCACCCTGGTTTGGAAGCTAAACAGGCTGAAAGCCAAGCCTGCAACACACTTGCTCTATGGCCCTGAGTAAGAATCTAACTTCTCTGAGCCTCAGTTTCCTCATAAAACATATACAGGTGCCAATGTCGGTGCCATTGCTGTGTTGGGTGGGTATGTCCATGTGCTTGGTTCCTCCTCGGTGAGGCCAGCCATGCACCTTTACTTCTTGGAAAGCCATCCTCAGGTGTAGCTGAGGAGGACAGGGTTCTCATGCCTGCCCATGAGTGAGCAAGTTTTTGCCACTTGCAGCAGCTTCTCCTCCTCCTCTGGCTCCTAGCCACCCTGTCAGCCCCCTTGGTTCTTATCACTTTCCTGGGACCCCACCTAGTCCAGGGCTGGGAGGTCAGAACTGTTAACCCTATCCTGGGCCACATGATTTCTAGTCATTGCCCTGGCGTTCCTTTCCAGAGGATCCAGGGATTCTCTCTATCAGATAGCCCACCTTCACCATATTCTAGAGCAGTGGTTCTCAACCTTCCTAATGCCGCGACCCTTTAATATAGTTCCTCATGTTGTGGTGACCCCCAACCATAAAATTATTTTCATTGCTACTTCATAACTGTAATTTTGCTACTGTTATGAATCGTAATGTAAATATATCTGATAAGCAGGATGTATTTTCATTGTTACAAATTGAACATAATTAAAGCATAGTGATTAATCACAAAAACAATATGTAATTATATATGTGTTTTCCGATGGTCTTAGGCGACCCCTGTGAAAGGGTCATTCGACCCCCAAAGGGGTCGCGACCCACAGGTTGAGAACCGCTGTTCTAGAGCATCCTTTCTTCATGACCAAGCCTAAGTATCATTATTGCTTAAGTGTCTTCAATCAAATGACAGAGCCTTCCCTCAGACTGTGGCTATGAGAACACAAGGGCCACTGTCGACTGCAATTTAACAACACTTAAACCTATGCCACATTTAAATAGGGAAACTAGACATAGATGACAGAGCAAGAACATGGGTCTATCTCCCCTCCTTTCCTCAAGTCCTTGATGACAGAGATATTTTTAAAAGAATAAACCATAAGAGTACTAGGAAGAAGAAAAGCAAACATAAAGGGGCGCTATTGGTGAACCAGAAATATTGAGAATTTCCTAAGTGGAAGAAAGCAGATAGGATTCAACTACAAAGAAAAAAAATGTAATATGTACATTCTAAACCACTAGAAGGTAAAATGGATGCACACACATAAACTATTGCAAGTTAGCAAAAGGACAGAGATGCAAAGAAGGGAAAGAAGGGAGGGAGGGAGGGAGGAAGGGAGATGGTGGGAATAAGAACAAAAATTAATAATCATGAAAAATTAAATTTCTCTATTAAAAGATAGATATTCTAATGTTGGCTTTAAGAAGTCTAGCTCTAGCCTGTTTATAATAGGTAGAGTAAAATAAAATAACCTAAAGAGAATAAAAATAAAGGAATAGAAAAAGAATACCAGACCATGCTTACCAAAAATATAGATGTAATAAAAGCAATATCAGAAGAAATAAAATTCCAGGTAAAAGAAGGATATTCAATATTGATAAAAGATATAATCCATAAATAATATGTAACAATCATAAAACCACATGCATGTAACAACATATTTGGGAATATATCAATCAGACACTGATAGACCCATAAAGAGAAAATGAACACACACACAAGGGGAGACTTCCATACAGCACATAGAAGCTGACAGACCAAACAGGACATCTAAATAACATAATTAAACCTAATTGAATAACTCTGTACTCAATAAATAGCAAAAAAAAAACAACACTACTTTTTTAAGCACCCAGAAACATTCCAAAAATTAGCCAAGATGTAAGTCACAAAGAAAATTTCAATAAATTCTAAAATTTCTCTTACTTCAATACAGCAAAAATTAGAAAGTAACCATAAAATTAGTAGTCCCTCCAAATCTATTCACTTAATTGTGTTCTAAATAATTCAGAGCTAAAGCTACAGACTACTTAGAAATGAGAGAGAGAGAGAGAATAAGACCTTAAATTTATGAGCTTTACTAATCAATGAAAAAGGAAAATTTGGAGCCAAGATTAATTTATTTTTTTAAGTTTATAATAATTCAACTAATAGATGGAAAAAGAACAGCCATATTACCCCAAAGGATGAAGGAATGCATTTATTAAAATAAAAGCAGAAATAAATAAAATATCTTTAAAATATATTAATAAACCTTAAAACTGAATCTTTGAAAAGAGCAATAAATAGACAAACTTTCATCAAATCCAAATTTTTTGAGAATTTTTCAAGAGTTTATTTGAACCAAACTGATGACAGATGCCAAGGTGCAAGATCTCTAATGCTCCCAAGTTTTCCAGCTTCTTTTATTCATTTTAAATTAAAGAAGGAATTTAGAGAAGATTACATAGAGGTGTGAAAAAGCAGGGTAGGAATTGGATTATAGGATTTTTAACTAGATTACGTGCTTTCTTTTTTATTTACTTTTCAATTACAGCTTAATTCAATATTATTTTATATTAGTTTTATGTGTACAGCAGAGTGGTTAGACAATCAAATTACATAATTTATAAAGTGAACCTCCCAATATATCAAGCACTCACCTGGCACCATACATAGTTATTCTAATACTAGAGACCTGGTGCACAAAATTTGTGCAATCAGAGGGGTCCCTCAGCCCAGCCTGCACCCTCTCACATTCCGGGAGCCCTCGGGGAATGTCTGACTGATGGGAGACATTCCCTAGGGGGAGCGGGTCTAAGGCAGCAGTTGGACATCCTTAGCGCTACTGTGGAGGCTGGAGAGGCTCCCACCACTGCCACTGCGCTCGCCAGCCATGAGCCTGGCTTCTGGCTGAGCAGTGCTCCCCTTGTGGGATCAGGCCAAAACCCGCTCTCCTCCAACATCCCCCTAAGGGGTCCTGGATTGGGAGAGGGCACAGGCCAGGCCAAGGAACCCCACCAGTGCACGATTGTGGCTAGGAGGAGAGTCGTGGGAGGTTGTCCAGTCAGGGAGGGACCACGGGAGGGCTTCAGGGCATGTCCGGCCTGTCGCACTCAGTCCCAATCAGCTGGACTCTAGCAGCAAGCTAACCTACTGGTTGTCTGCCCCCCTGGTGGTCAGTGCATGTCATAGTGAGTGGTTGAGCGGCCTTAGCATATCATTAGCATATTACACTTTGATTGGTTGAACAGCTGACCTGTTGACTGGACACTTAGCATATTAGGCTTTTATTATATAGGATTATTGACTACATTCCCTATGCTGTACTTTACATCCTCTTGACTATTTTGTAAATACCAATTTTTACTTCTTACTACCTTCACCTTTTTCACCTAGCCCCCAACATTCCTCCGATCTGGCGACCCTCAGTCTGTATCTATGAGTTGGTTTTATTTTGTTTTGATTGTTTATTTTAGATTTGGCATGTAAGTGAAATCATATGGTATTTGTCTTTTTCTGTCTGACTTTATTTTACTTATAGTAGTAGGTCCATCCATACTGCCAAAATTGGTAAGATTTCATTCTTTATTATAGCTGAGTATTATTCCATTGTATTTATGGACCACATCTTAATCTAATCATCTATTGATGGGCACTTGGGTTGCTTCCATATCTTGGCTATTGGAAGATCTTTAGCTTTTCTTGTCTGGGAAGATCTTTATTTCTCCTTTAATTTTAAATGATAGCTTTGCTGGGTAGAGTAGTCTTGGTTGTAGGCCCTTGCTTTTCATCACTTTGAATATTTCATACTGTTCACTTCTGGCTTGAAAAGTTTCTATTAAACCAGCTTAAAGTTTTATGGGAGCTTTCTTCTAGGTAACTGTTTTTCTCTTGATGCTTTTAAGGTTATCTCTTTGTCTTTAACTTTTCTTGTTTTAATTCTGATGTGTCTTAATATGGGCATTTGGGGATTAATCATGTTTGGGACTCTGCACTTCCTCGACTTGTGTGCCTTTTTTCTTCAATAGGTTAGGAAATATTTTAGCCATTATATCTTCAAATAGGTTCTTAATCCCTTAATGTCTCTCTTTTCCTTCTAGTACACCCATAATACAAATGTTATACTTGATGTTGTCCAGAGGTCCCTTAAACTATTCTTATTTTTTTTTCTTTTTTCTTTTTGCTGCTCTTATTGGGTGTTTTTTGCTATTTGGTCTTCCAAATCACAGATTGGATCCTCTCAGTGAACCATAAAGGGAAAACGAACACACACACGGTGGGAGACTTCCATAAAGCACATTGATTCCTAATCTGCTGTTGGCTACTTCTAGTGAATTCTTCATTCCAGTTACTGTATTCTTTATTTCTGACTGGTTCTTTTTCATGATTTCTGTGTGTTTTTTAATGCTGTTGAAGTTCTCACTAAGTTTTCTTTAGCATCCTTATAATCACTGTTTTGAACTCTGTATCTGGTATTTTTCTTGCCTCCATTTTATTTAGATCTCCCCCCCCCCCCCGGGGGCTATCTCCTGTTCTTTCATTTGAGACACGTTTTTTTTGTCTCCCCATTTTAGCTATCTCTCTGTGTTTGTTTCTATGTATATGGTAGATCTACTATGCCCCCCAGTGTTGGTATGTTGGCCTTATGTAATTGTTTCCTTTGGGACCCAGTGGCACAGCCTCCTTGATCCCCTAAGTCGGGTGCTCCAAGAGTGTTCCTTGTATGGGTTATGTGTGCCCTCCTGTCTAGTTGAGCCTTAATAGCATGTAAATGGGTGGGGTTGACCCTCAGGCTGGCT